GGGTTAAAGCTTCTTTTTTGTTTCTAAATAACATAAAATTCTTACAGTGGAGTCTGGATTGGGGCATATGGGAAAAAAAAACTGCAGAAGAGACTATTGCTGGTTGCACTTTGATATACATTTCGATCTTTTACACACACCTACAATTTTGCAAATTTATATTATCAGTGATTTCATACTCACTGAACCCATTTCCTGGCCAAGGGCTGCATTAACCACTCCTTTGAGGATATACTCCTAGAAACAAGGAACAACATGATTAGTTCAAGAGGAATGTGGAGCTATCAGATAACTTTCAAGTTAATTCTTTGCATCAACTTAACACTTTATATAAATTATCAAAGGTTACCCAGAGTCACTTTTCTCTGTTCTATCCCTGGATTGAAAGAAAGAATTAAGAGACTTTCATGTAGTTTCCAGCAGGCAAGTATCCATATAACAGAATTCACCATATTTGTAAATTCTCAATCTTAAGCAGAAATTATTCAGTGGAAGCACGAGGAGATAAGTTTCATTTATTTCAATTCAATGAAAAAAAAACAGTAAAATGTTTATGTAATAAGTTTTATCACCTTGTCAGTCACTGCCATTCTCTGTGACCACATCATATATATTATAGTCCCTGTCCAATGTTATAATAACCTTTCTTAGCTAGTGATCCTTTTCCTCAAAAAAAAAAAAAAAAGTGTCCTCTGATTTGCATATGTAAGATATTTTCTCTTTTGGAGTCCTGGGGCATCCCTTTTATCCCTTTTTTCAGACTTGGTTCAGTTCTTTAATAGATATCCTCCTTAGCAGTTTTATTAATTTTCATTTAAGAGAGCTCATAAAAAGAACAGCATGAAAGATGCTGAAGCTTTTAACACACTTGAGAAATATACCTGTTTAGACTCCATGGGGTCTGGAAATATTTTTCATTCAATAAATGGCATGCCTTCTAGGTACTTAATGTACATAGTGTTGGAGATACAATATAGATACAGTTTGTGAATATAAGGAGATAACAATATAATGGGGAAGACAAGTTATAGACAATTAGTGAGATAAGTATATATATCTAGTTGTTAGTTTCATCAGAATTCTGGATTTTAGTATTTTAAGATCTTAATCCATTCCAGAAAATGATTACATATAAGGGAGTTTAAAAACATCAAAAAGCCCAACATTCATTGTCATATCAAAAGTCTCAGATAACATTCCTAGATTGACATAAACAGTTTTTCCTGGAAGTCTACTAATACAAGCAGGAAACTTCTCTAATATGCCTTCTAGCTATATTTCCAAAGTTTCACTTTCAACAGAACTTGATTAGTAAAAATGTAAAACATTCTCAATTACCTGAGGGGTAGTAGGTTCCAGATCCTTAATTAAGTTATAAGCTTCTTGTACATCATCTGAAATATAAAAAATAAGTCGTTATACTAGTCTGTATTCCAGCAAACTCTTCTGAAGCAGTTCTCCAAAAGATAAGATCCTTCAGTACTCAAAC